CTTCTCCCATACTAAGGAATGCTATCATCTTGACTATCTTTTAACACTGAGGCAGTTGAAGCTGACAGTTCAGTTCATTACCTATTTCCTCCTCTGCAGTTCCTGGAAGGGTAGTCCTTGCTTTTGCTGCTTCTGCATTCTCTTCTTCTGTAGAGGAAGAGTAGAAAAACAAACAGTCAATACCTTCAGTTCCACCCACCCACCTTAATTAAAAAAGAAAAAAAAACTAATTTCCATGTAATCAGTGTTGAGGACAAACGCTTGAGCAAGCAATGAATATCCACATGTAGTTATTGCCTCCCTCTCCCCAAGCTGAAAGAACCAGAGTACAATATAAAATAAAACTACCATCATCTACAATTCTTTCTAGAGTCTCTCTTTCAGAATTATAGAAGTGGTATCACATATTTCTCACTCTTTAACATAAAAATAAATCAGGCTCTTGGCTTAAATATCCTCAAAATGTCTATATTCAAAAAGCTTACTGGTATGCTCTTAATTGCTTACATGACAGCTACAAATGAACATCCTTCAATCTAACAGATATGAGGAGATCAGAAGCCCCCAGAGGACAGGAGTTACTGTAGGAAACTCAGTGTTCACCACTAATGAAATATTACTAATGACAGATATTAGTGTTTGCCACTAATGGCAATAATATTAAAGTATTAAATATTACATTTAATATTATTAAAGTGCACATGGAGTTGCCAGGTTTCACCAGGACCAAGCACACACTTACCAGGAACTACACACTTCCAAAGGCCATAGGTTTTCCCTACTGTTGTCTGCCACAGCCTTAGTGTGCCATCCTCAGAGCCACTTGCATATAACTCTCCATCGGGGCTAAATCTCACGCAGTGAATGGGACCAAAGTGCCCTTTGTAAGATTCTGAAGGGAATATGTCAAGACCATCAATTTCAAATTTCAGCCAACAGCTGAAATTTAAGTACAAATCGATCAGTTTCTGATATAAAACAGTTTTCATGAATGGGTGTGTCAGCAATAGGCTACAATAGGCAAGATATTAATGTTTCATTAACTGCAAGGAAAAAAAGTGTTCAGTTATTCTAGACAGAACTGCAAAGCAAGGCAGCAGCACAGAGCACACATGCTCTGTTCCTTCAAACAGAGTTCTTTCCACAAACAACTTTAAATGAGAACTGGATAAATAAGAATATATGCTCTTTTTGAAATAAATTTGGCCAACACATCATATTTTTCATAAAATCTTGTAACTGACATATCTAATGAATAGTATAACAATTTAACATAAAGCTATTATAGCAATACAAAATAAGAATTTTTTTTAATAGTTGCAGAGTTGTTGAATGGATATTTTAATTAATTCTAGAATAATATTAGGTATACTGAGGTAGCAAAAAAGGTTTAACTGATTATATACATTTTCATCATCCTCTTGCACAGCATGCTATGCTAAGACCTTATGTGAGTATAATAGTTTATTTACTGGTCATTTTTCATTATTAATACCTATTTCAGAACTTCTTTATGATTATAGGAGACAAACATACCTAATTCTTCTCCTGTATTATAGTCATATTTATAGAGTTTAAAATCTTCACCACCTGCAACCAAACATTCTTTCGCTGGGTGAAGTGATGCAGAATTGATTGTAGCAGGTGCTTCAAATGATTTAATCTGCTCTAGACTGAGGGAGAAAAGTTGGTTAATAAAGTTCATATTAAAAAGAAAAAAAATCTTGAGAGCAAAGAAACTGTGATTCTACTAATCTCAACTGCTTTTACCAGAAATAGACTACAACCTCACAGAATTTCTGAAACAAGTTTTGCTACTTGCAAATCATGCTTGTCAAGTTAGAAATGAGTTTAGAATAAGTAAAACAAAAGCTCACACATACAGAACTACTTTCTGGACTATGTTTAAGCATGTAAATTCCTTTCTTGAAGCAGCATAGAGATGCCAGTTTTGACAACTTGCTGATTCCGGCCTCATACAGCCAGTTTTTACCCACAAGAAGCCCATTACTCCACCTATGAAAACTGGAGTTGTGGACTCACGTTTCTGCACTATGAAAAGCAATAGTCTTCCCATAGGTTATCACCAGTATCTGTCCTTCTGGAACATACTCCATGCTGCTCACTGACATTGCCACATTTAGTGACTTCACCTCAGTCATGGTACTCCGGTCCCAGAGGCTTGAAAGGAAACAAAAAGGGAAAAAAAGACTCTCAGCCTTCTGCAAATCAAACAATTTTCACCTCAAATCTATGACAAGACCTGGATCAAAAAAGGCACCCATCAAGGAACATGGTTTGGTTCCACAGGTACTTCACATCTTCAGTGGCTTTATCTGCATTCTCACCTAGGCCAAGCTTAAGACACATTCCTTTTTTTAAAATACTTCTAGCCTTTGCAGCTTAATGCTACAACATTTAATGGTATATACACACCATTTAGTTACTCAGTGATTCAGAGTAACTAAACTCAGTAATT